GTTTGCCAAATAAAATTTATTTTTACTTGAATCGATCTAAATGAAATAATCAGATCTATCGAAAATTTCAATGGTCAATTAATTAATTAATTAAAAAGTTCTTGGGCAAAATATTAGCAATGAATGATCAAGATCCTTATCCACCCTATCATTTAGAAATGTAAAAATAATAATTTAATTTGCTGTAGTTATAATATCAAGCGTGAAGTAAATAGTAGACTGAAATAATCTTTTCAGTATCTTTACTTCTTGCTAATCTTTTTAAAATTCGTAGATATTGAATTCGTCATCCATAAGAAATTCATAAAAATCTAAATAACTGAGAGCATAATATCTTTTATTTAAAAGCAAAGCTATTTCAAGGGTTCATTTATCAATTAATAAAGTTTGAATTTTATTATATAATACATAATAATCTTTTAGTTATAAATTATCAAGTCTATATTTTTTTGTTTTAAATTGATGATAATTTTCATTTGGATGTTTGACAAACCTTTCTTCTTCATCACATTCAAAATTTTCAACATTGCATTTTAATGTTGAGACATGATCAATCTTACATAAGGGTAAGTCATTTTAATTATCAATTCTAAATAAATTTATTAAGCCATTGCTCTATTAAAACATAATGCTGAATTAATCGAGGATAAAGATCACTGTATAAAGCCTAAATTCTTCAAATTAAATATTAATTTAAATTTAATGTCTATCTAGTCCTTGGTAAAAATCTTCAAGTCTATCAAAACAAAGGTACCCATTTAAATTTTAATAAAAAATGTAATCTAAATTATCAAAAATCTTGTGGATTACCTTAATTTAATTCTTAATTTCAATTGTTTTTAAAGTCAATAAAGAACTTATCTGAATAAATTCAATGAAAGTTTATGATTCTTTATTTTGAAATTGAACTATTATTTAGTTTCGATGATTTAAAATTATCAGTTATCTTAAGTGATAATATTCTGAATATTTCCTGAATGGTAGGGATTTAAATCTATGCATCTTTTTCGAGTAATCAACTTCCTAATATTCTTCTAAAATCCATTTATAATCTTCTGGAAGTTTATCATTAGCAAATTCTTTTTAAATTGGAGTTGAAACTTTATCATAGTTTTATAGCAAGGACTGTGAATAATCTTTAGTATCCATTAGAGACATTTTTTAAGAAATTAAATTTCAAAAATATATATATTTAGAGATAATTTCAGTAATGTGCTTATAAAGTCAATAATTTTTATATTTACAAAATGGATTTACCAAACTTAAAGCTTGTTAAACTTAGAAAAGTTGTGGAAAGAAATAGCTCTATGGCTAAATTATCGAATCTTTACCCAATCTCTGCTTGATAGATGTTTCCAAAGTCTTTCGTGGATGAATTTTATGTTGAAGTTGATCCTTACAAATCTGAGATACCTAAAAATTAGGATTCAATAACTGTTAGAGATATAAATTCTGCAAGAAAGAGCAAAAGATTATCTCGAGGTGTTTCTCATGGAAATTTGTATAGTTCGGCAAGTAAAGAAAAACAAGTAAAATCCTAAATCTAGATAAGAAAGGAAATGCTTCAGAGTTTTTAAGATGCTTATGAGACCGAAGATAGGTAAATTGAGAATTAGTATGCAAGTCTCTCAAGTTAAAGATAACCGTAATTGAATAATTTCTAAATAAGTAGTTCTGATTTTAAAAGGAAAGTAATGACGAGTGCGCAAATTTAAAGTAGAAACCCTGAAACTCAGAGGTCTGATCTTAAATTTACTGTGGCATCAACTGATAACGTAATGGGTACTATAGAGTCAAATTAGAAATCCTATTTCAACTAGAATGGATATTATAAAGATGGAGTTTAAAGAGAGGTTATAAATGATAAGTTAATTTATGAAGCATATAAAAAGAAATTTTCTCTCAGAAAAGAGAAACTCTAAGCGAAAGAAGAGAAAAATACTATTATGAACTACAAGATGCTTATTGACTAACTAGATTCTCTTGTAGAAAGCCATGACAAATGCATAGAACTAATTAATTAATAAAAAGCAGACAATAAGTATGACAATAGATCAGACTAGAGGACATTGGCTTTGTCAGAGAAAATCAAAGACATGATAAATCAAAACTTTTTTATAGAATTGATAGATCAGATAAAAAGCAAAGTTACGAAAAAAGTAGATTTAGCGAATTAGAAATCTCAAGAGAAATAAAAGGAGGCATTATCTGATTTTGTTTTTGAAAATGATGTCATTTTGTTTTCAATACTTTGTGAATTAAAGCAATCATTGAATAAGTTCACTACTGTAATATATTAAACTTATTTTGAATCTATTTTTTAGATTTACTCCTAAGATGATATCATTGAAGAGATAGAAAGAGTTCAAAAGACTTCAAGGCAAACTATCAGAAATCTGAGTAATTAATTATAGCGAATTCATTTTATTTTGTAGTTCCAAGAAATCATCATTAAGTTGCAATGATAATGGAAATGGTAACCAAACAGTTTCTAATATTATTTGATAAGGTGCTAATTTATCATAATGATCAGGTAAAATTTACACAACTTGCATATTTATCATATTTCAGCAACAAAAACTTACTGAACTATTAAGGTAAGAGGCTCGAGAAAACTTGAATAATTCTCTGTTTATTATGAGGAAAAATTTAGAAGATCTTACTGAAAAGCTTAAAAAGAAAAAAAGAAAGATCAAAATACTAAGGCATAATAACCTAATGTCAAACATGAGAATCTAAAGTCTAACAATTGATTTTGATAAGATAAATCAAGAACTAAGTAAGAAATCTGACTTGGCTAGACATTAATTATAGTGAGATTAACAAGAATATAGCCAGGAGATGAAATGCAAAGGATAACCAATATAGGTAAAGGAATGGAAACGTTATTTGATGATATGGAAGAGAAATAAAGGAACACACTAATGTAAATGGATGGTATAGCGAAAATGCTTGATTTCAAAGTTCAAGAGAAAAACTCTATTTTTGTCAAAGCTGGAACTTAAACTGAAGATGATATTTCAATACTTAAATATGCCAGATTCCAGAATGATAAAGATCTGAAATCATATATATCTTTCATGCCATATATTGATCAAGACAGATTCATAGGAGTTTACAAACAACTTAAAATTTCAAAGATGACAATGGCAGATGAAGATTAGTCATAGTATTTAGTCGGTGTATTGCTGAACTTGATAAGAGAGAAACTTTCTACTGATATTATAAGGTAGCATTAATTCTAGCTCTAACCATTTACCTCATTTTTGGTTCATTTTCTGATTCAGTAAACTCAGGATTAGGGAGAGGGATATAGGTAACTTACAAAAATGCTTAGATAAAGCTAGTTCTTTAAGGAATCAAACATCTAATCTACATTATTCAAAGTATTTCTAGATATGATTTAGCTTCCTCAAAGTCCTAGTGAAGAACTTGTAACTCTAAGATTTGTTAGTGAGAGTATGAGCAGAGCAGAAGCCACACTTGGAATGAGCTATTTGAAAGATATAAATCTGGACAATGTAACTATGAATCTCATCTACGCATACCATTTAGGACTTCATTCTTTCGGATTGTTTCTAAAAGATAATTATCTAAAGGATGATAAATATGAATATCTTGATAACTTGTCTGAAGGTGAGTTTTTAATACAGTATTTTCTTGGTAATCTATTGCCAATTTTAAAAAAGAACAAAAAGAACTATGACTTAAAATTTAAAGATGACTAGGTATTTGAATATTATCTCTATGAGTAACAAAGAATATAGTACTAAGCATGCTCAGACTTTTACATGACAAAAATTAATAATAATAACTCCCATTTAGGAGTAAACAAAGCTGCCAGTAAATAGCCCTCTACATAAAATACTAACTCAATTGGCTAATCACCTAAGCGAAATGATTTTAATTTTAATGCTGAAATAATTAATAATAATCCAGCCTTAGCAAAATAATAAAACTCTTCAAGATAAGGCTAGAATTTATCATTTATTAAGAGCTAAGACCCTTCAAGAGGATAATCGTTTAAAATTATAAGAGAAATGCCTCTTAATGCATTTAATGGAATTCAAGGGTCAGGCAGCAATAATGGAACAGGAACATTTTAACCAAAAAATGCAGACATCTACAGAGATTCAGTGATTGAAAATGAATTGCTATAATCTAGAGCATAAGATACAGTACAAAAGCTATGCGAATTCGCAATGAAAAAAATAATCCTAAATTCAACAGAAGGTCCAAATATTTTCAATAATTACAAAGATTTATGTCTTGGAGGAGGCTTTATCAGAAAGCTTAAAAATGAATATACCTCGTGTCTTAATGAGTTATATAGAGATCCAAATATTTAGGTGTGTAAGTATTATAATGGTTTTATTGATTAAATTTAGTGAACTCGTCTGATTTCAAGACATATATTATGGATAGAAATTACTCACTTATTCTGAGTGAAACTGAAAGATAGGCTGTTAGCACCTGGTTTGGAAGTTAGTTTAATGAGAAGATAAGACCATCAGGAATAATTACATATTGTAGTGAACATTAAATAAACATGAATCAAATATCAAAGACTTTATTCGCTGTCAAGAACATATTCTTACTGATATAGCACAGTTTTAGAGAATTACACCACAGAAAAAAATGTTACTTCTCATAGTAATTAGAATAATAGAAGGCCCTAGAGCAAAAAGTAAATTTGTTTCAATTAGTATCAGCAAACATAACTGATGAGCAGTTAAAAGTGGTATCAATCAAGAATTACACAGTTTTCTTTAAACTGCTAATTGATTCTAATCCACAGCTTAAGCACAAAATACCTCTAATTTTGAAGGCTTATAATCAAATCTTGAGATAGATAGAAGTTACATAATCTACATGGGAGGAGGACTAAATCTATTATGTTGATCCAACTATTGAAGAATAAAATTTGAATACTAAAGTGAAGTTTAAAAGCAAAGAATGGATTGATAAGGAGTATGAAATTATGCATTAAGTTGTTGAGAGACTTAAACTACTTAAGATAAATGATTTTAAATAAAGCTAAAGTAGTATTTAAAGAACAATGCATCCTTAAACACTAGAAGAGCTAGTAAAAAATTCACTCTAAGTTGTAACATCTCCAAAGAACAAAAAATGATAAAACCTTTTATGAAATTTAAGATTAATTGATCTTAATGACTAACTTAATTTCATGAATACAAAATATATTTAAACTAAAACTACAGCAATTATTCTAATAAAATCGTTTGGGGTTTTGGGGTTTTGGGGTTTTGGGG